AATTAATTTTTTATCCATGCACAGGTCTTGGGGCTTCAAAATGATATTGTGTTTTCTTCTTCTGTTTACTATAAAAGATTTTTTTTCAATTCATTTCTTCTTTTGTTTCTAAAAAAAACCTCTAAAAAGCTTTAAAAAAAAAAAAAAAAACCCCAAAGGCTAATCAGTTTCAAAAAATTGGCCATTGTTTGTCACGCTGACCGTTGTGCTAGTCGTTGAAAAAAACCTAAAATACACCAAAATGATCCTCTCAACCCTTTTTTAACGATCTAGCCTCCTTTTCAACAAAAAGAATCTCAAATAGCCTAGATCTAAGCAAAACCCTTTGGCACCACCAAAAAAAAAAAAAAAAAAAACCAAAATTTTTGCTCCCCTTTTTTTTTTTTGTTGGCGACTGTGTTTTTTTTTTTTTTTTGAGTTTTTAAAGTCTGATGGTTATGACTTGGTTTTTTTTTAAAAAAAAAATTTTTTTGTTATGGTTTGACAAAGGATTTTTTTTTTTTTTGTGTTTTTTTAAAGTTTCCCTTTTTGTGGTTCTTATTTCTATTTTGGTCCATGAAAGTTTGTTTGTAAAGCTTTAGCTGCAATCACTGCTGCCAGGGTAATGGAAGATGTTGGGAGGCATACATGGTTGGTGACTTAAGAGGTAGGTATCTTAGATTATAGTGATTAGGTGGGTAAAGTATACTAGTGGCTCAAGTAAGTGGAAAGGTAGGTTTTGTGCATGGTGTTGTGTTGTCTTTTCTTTTCTTTATTTGATTATTTTAATTATTATTATTTTAATACCACTTTAAAATTAACAAATAAAACTTAAACTAAAGCTAAACAAAATAGGCCTTTAAATGGGCTCTATTTGGGGCTCAGGCCAAAGAAATTAAAATTGGGCTTTGGTCCCAAAAACTTGAGCCTACGAATTTATAATTGAAACCCAATTTAGTGAACTCGAACAAATTTAGTGTTTATATCTATGTTTAATATATACTCATATTTATTACATGCTCTCAAATTCAATTAACATAGCAAACAAAAGATATATTATATAATTTTAATTGATCCCTTTAAAATTAAATGTCAAGATTCACCATTGAAAATGATACATGACATGATTTTTTTTTTGCAATTGATACATGACTTGTGCTTAAAGGTGGCAAAATGAATACAAATTCAATCTTAATCCAACCGAATTCAATTTGATTAAAAAAAGTTAAGATTCAAATTTGAAAAAAAAAGTTAATATTTAAAATATTTTTTGTATTATATATCTATGTTAGTTTGATATATAAAAAAATAGAATTCCCACTCTCATATTTCAACTTTTATTACGTTAAGTAATTTGGTACTTCATATTATTACCGTGAACTAAATAATTAACATGACATGAATATTTAATAAAATTATAACATGTGTCATAAATATTCAATTATTGTCATATCAACTATTGTTACGTTAGCAAAAATATTTTTTTCTCTCCTATTCTTACCCTTTTTTTTATTTTGAATTAAAAAAATATTTTAAATTTTTATTTAAATATGTCCATCAAAAATAGATGAGATAACGATAATTAAACATTTATGCTAGTTACGTGACTTTATCGAGTATTAATGCCACAAAAGTAAGTTAACTAACTTGATTGGTCTAGAGTGCTAAAATGCCTAACAAAATAAAAGTTTAGATACCAATGTGAGAATTTAATTTTTGCAAATACGAAATTGATCAAAAGTATATAATGTATGAGCCATTTTTTTTTAACCATTGAAAAAAAAATTTAAACCGAAATGACCTAAAACTGAAATTACTTAAAACTAAAAAAAATCTAAAATCAATCTTGACTTGAACACAAAACGTATGTTAAAGTGTACATTTTTTTTTATAAAATCTAGAAATTATATGATTAGTCCAAACCTAAATTTAATTCACACTGAAAATGATTTAAATTTGTAAAAATTCACATCCAAAATTATCTATATTTAAAAAATTCCGATCTCAAAATTATCCTAAGGTGAAAGAGTCCGAACACGAAATACCCAAACCACCCGTTTGTTGATCAAAATGTTCATGTGTGAGAAAAAATGAGTAGTTTTAGAACCTCTCAAACAAAGCCTAAAGCATTTTCAATTTGTAAATCTTCCGTTATGTGGCACACCCATAAAATTCTGCTAGTAAATTCTACAAAGGGAATAAAATTACCAGTTGAAAGAAATTTTATTTTTCAAGAAGTGTGTGCTGTGTACAACTTAGTAACATCCCCGGCTCTCTTTCGTATCTCTCGCTCAACGTTTAGATCAAAAGGATTAATGTTATATATAATTTTTAAATTATAATAAAATATTTAATATAATATTTAAATTTTATAAATTTATAATATTATATTAAATTATAAATTTATTAATTAATACAATATTTATATTCAATGTGATCAATTTTAAATAATAACATATGATATTTTACGTATCATATTAGTTAATAAATTTATAATTTAAATATTACATTAAAAAAATTTTAAATTCAAATATTATATTAAATAATTTATCATAATTTAAGACCATTCATAAAATTAACTCAAATCAAAACTTGTAACTTGCATTTGGAGTCAAACAGAGCGAGGAGCCGAGAAACATCATCTAAATAAAAATTGAGGAGGAAAAAATAAAATACAAAATCACGCAATGAAGTGAGAAAACGAGAGAAGATAAGGAACGCTAGCTCAGACAAAACGTTCACTTTCGAAAGTTTGATACGATAGTCTGAATGAAAAATATGTCGAATTTACTCCTGTCTGATGCCCGAATAATGGACCACTCATGCGTTAGTGTAAACGTTAGATAAGTCGTCTCAAAATCATGGGAAACAAATAATTTATTTGGATAAATGATTAGATTAATTTTGATAAAATTAAAAATAACAAAGGAGATTAGATTAATTATTATAGTGGTTTAGATGAAAATTTATATAATATTATTAAGTATTTGAATATAAAAATTGCAGTGATGATGAGGTGGGAGTTATAATAAGAACAAAAAATTATTACTAAGAGAATTAGATTAAAAATTATATAATAAAAATTTTAAATTATTTAGTATCTACAATATTAATAAATAATTAAAAATTATTAAATTATTTTAATATCAAATAATAATTTTGTTAATAAATAATTAAAAATTAATAAAATAATAATATATCAAATAATATAATTTACAATTTTAAATTGATAAAATTATTTCATATTTCCAAATAAAAAGCAAAATAAAAAATAAATTACAAAAATATTTTTATAATTACAATATAATTTTAAAAATAAAAAAAGCTAATAAACTATTGGATGAAAAATGATTAATCACCTTCGACACAATTCTTGTCGTTTAAGTTGCATCCTAGTAGAACTGCAATGCCATTTTGCACGTATTGGAGGGTTTCATGAAAGTCAAGGTCGTGCGAAGAAGAGGTGGAAGAGATCAAGGGTTTGGGATGTTTCTGTAAGTGCATTCCACGTGCTCCGATCTCTAAATGATTTCAGTTAAAAGTGTAAATGATACATTAATATTCATAAATTATTTGAATTCGATTCGAATAAAACTCGAATTCGGTTTTATTATTATTGAGTCGAGCACGAATTCGAGTAATTCGATTCATCGATTGAATCGAATTCAAGTATTCTTATATCTGACTTGAGTAACTTTCGAGTATAATCGAATTTTTATATTTAAATATTTTTTATTATTTTAATTAATAAAATATTTCGAATTCGAGTTCAAACACAAATAATTAAACTTTTATCGAGTATAAAAATTAAACTTATTTTACATATTAATCAAATTTAATCGAACAAACTCAAATAATTTGATTTTGATTACGAATTGAACTCAAGTTAAGAAAATAAAACTCGATTGAGTTCGAATCGAATATAAAATCACGAGTTAATAGTTGAATTTAAAATTCGAACTTCTCACTATATCGACTTGATTCGATTACACTTTTAATTTCAGTAAATAAAAAAGGAGAGCAACTTTTCATCAACTGCCTTTCAGCCCACTATTTGACGCGCAACGACATCACTTTATTGAGGAATATCTTTCTCATCTGCAATTGAGCCACTCGTTTACATTTTGAATCTTTGGTTCCCACATGTCCAGTAGTTAAAAGTTTTGTTTATTATGCTTCAATGGGAAACATCATTTTGATTTCGGACATGAGGGACCAGGGCTTTTACTGGTTCTGCCCAATTGCAAAGACCCTACGTTACCAAAGTTGAAAAGTCATTTGTGATACGTTACCTTAGAGTTTCTATCAAATATCCAATGACCAACAACAACGACCTTTTGCCCAGATATTTTCATTTCTTTCAAGGCCTTACTTCACAAGTACAACAATCTTTGGAAAATAAGGGTGAAAAATTAAGGGAGCAAAAAAGGAACAGTAGTTTCTGGCACATCTATGCCTTGATCTTTGACCAGTGGGTTAGAATACCCTGTATGGCCCGGATTTTTTCAACAAAAAAATTTTAAAAAAAAAAGGAAAAAAGATTATATGATTTTTTAATTCAAATTATGTCAAATAAATAGATTATTAAAATATTAAACATTAAACAAAAAAATTTTTTAAATAAAGGAACAATAAAGAATTTAACCAACACTATTTGGGGTTTTTATTTATGGAAAAAAGATTATGTGATTTTTTTATCCAAATCATGTGAAATAAATATATTATTAAAACTATTAACCGTTAAACAAAAAAAATTAAAATAAAGGACCAATAAAGAATTTAACCAACACTACTTGGGTTTTTTATTTAAGGAAAAGAGATTATATGATTTTTTGTCAAATAAACATATTATTAAAAATATTAACCATTTGTTATATATTACATCTAATAGTTAAATAATAAATATTTATTTTGATAGATTAATAAATATCTTATTTAGGTGACCCACCGACCTACTATTTCTTGCCTAACAGGCATTTCTGTGAACGCTCAACGTTAATGGAACAAGAAAATTACAAGACTGATTTATCAACAAATTTTCAGGAAGAGAAACTTGAAAACATCAACGCTGGTAACAAATGAGACACAAAAAATTAAGGATGACAGCTTTTAAATAAACATATAAACGATACATATTTATAAAATGTTGTAAGAACAACTAGATAAGGAACTGAAAGCTATACAACAAGGTCCAACATGCAAACAGACAATAAAAAACAGAGCAGAAAATAAAATAGCAAATCCAAGAACTAAACCCTACATGCTGACATCCAAAATCCAAAACTAAGAACGAAAACAACCTCAAGGCTTCCACCCTTGATTGTAAGCATTGTCTCTCCTATTGTTTCTGAAAGCACAGCAGCCGACAGAGTAGACCACGATGAGGAAGATGAGGAATACAATGTTGACAACAGCCACCTTCTTCCAAGAACTCTTGAGGTTGTCTATAAATCCGGCCTTGCATGCCTGGCAATTGAAGCATAGAGTATCCAGATTATTATCCCATAGATTGCAGTCACTATTGGTGAAGACGCCATTCTCTTTAGTCCAGTTAGTCGGTCCAACATAGGTGAATTGACAGTCGTTTGATGGCTTACAGCAACCAGACTGCAATTACATAAAACATATTAGAACACAAGAAAAGAAAAATCAAAGTGGCTGCACCATCAGCAACAGTAAATTACAGTCCATGGATGTCAAAGCAGGCACAAAAGAGAATCATATTCGTTAAAATTGTGACAAAACCATCATAAAATTTATTCAGTTTCAAGGTGATTGATCACCTAACCATCTCTTTCAAAAGAAACACGTTGGGAATCATATTCTCGCACAGATAATATCAAAAGACACAGATGTCTAAAAGGTTATGGTCATCTTACAAAGCAGAATCCATACATGAAAATGCCCACAAGGAAAGTGGAGAACCTTTTTTATCCTAAAGTTGAAATTAACATAAAGTTAAAAGATTTCATTGGAAAGTATATAAAACCATAGCATCAACTGAAAAAAGAATGATTACCAGACCCCCTTTATGCATAAATTTTCATATAATGAATAAAAAAAAGTAACTTTATGCTGCTAAATAAGTAGTACTATTTTCTTTGACTAAAGCAGAATTATACTAAAATTAAACAATTTTGAAATTCGTAAGTCAATTTTCAAAGTAAAGAACAAAAATTATTGAAATCCCATTATTAGCGTTCAACAGTTAGAACTTGAAACTCAGTCTCCGATTCAAGTTTCCGAGACGAAAGAAAAAAAAATTCATAGCTATCTCTCGCCTAAAGACGATGAAAAGAAAGAATTCGATAGCTAACAAATACATGAAAATTCAAAATATCAACAAAACCCCAACCCAAATTAGATGTCGAAATAAACCGATGCTATGGATAAAATCAGAAGATTTGGAAACAAAGAAGACAAAACTAAAACAAAAGCCCAGATCTCAGAAAAGCAAAAGAAAAGAGAGGAAAAAAATAACATACCTGAACGGCAGACAAGTGCGCCTTATAAAACTCCGTGACAGTATCATTAAGATACTTTTCACGGAAATTAGTGCAAACTTTACTATCAGCTAAACAGCTCTTAATTTTATTCCAGTTCTTCTCATCAGTAACTCTCTTCTGCAACCAATTTGAGTAATCCCCAAGTCGGTATTCCTTATATCCTCTCTCAGATACCACTTGTCCCGCCCCTTTGTTCGTCACCACGAAAGCAAAGATGGTGAAGACGATGCCAAGTACGATGAGGAGGAACATGACCACGAGGTAAAGCCAGAGTAGCCACGTCACGCCACAGCACGCGCCGATTAGTCCCGCGAGTGAGACGACCATGAGGAAGACTCCGATTACGATCACGGGCTTGTCAAGAAACCGTTCGCACTCCGTTACGCCTTCCCGGCTCAGCCAGATGCCGGCGCCCAGGATGGGGATCGAGAGGAGGAACGTTATGAAGTTGAGGATTCCGACTAGGTTGTTGCTCAGGCGGAACGCCATCGTTTCACGCTTTCGGTTGGTTATCCCTTTTTGGTTTGAACGACGAGAAAATTTGAGAGATATTACAGAGACCAAGTGAATTTGGAGAGAAGTGGAGGGCAGAAGGGGGTTTTATTGAACAAAATTTCTGTGTGGTTATCGGAGGTTACTGGAGTATTATTGTCACGCGGTGTACACGTTTTTCAAATACACGTTCGAGGAAATGTGACATCTTTTGGATTTGTTGCCACGTGGATATATTTATTGTATTTTTTCATCTTATTAGTTTAATGGCTCCTCTCCTGATTTTTGTCAAACAAATTACTTTTATCATTTATAAAATTAAAAAATTAAAAAAATTGAGCTTTAAAATTTTTAAAATACTATTTTGATTTTAATTTATATAAAATTTTAATAATAATTAATAAATTAAATTCATTTAAAAAAATTAAATATGAATAAATAGAACGGACAAAGAGAATAACATTTAAAGTTAAATGTATTTAGTTTAACTAGCTAACAGAAAAATATTGTTTTTTAACTCATTACACATGGCATTTTCTGATTGTTGGGCGGAAACGCGTACTCCAAATGTCGGGTTGCTTGAATTAAATTTTTTAAAAAAAATTTGTGTGAAATTAAAAAAGAAAAATTATTTCTCAAATTTAAGATTTTGGATTATTATTTTTCAAATATTTAAAATTAAAATTTTATAATTTTATAATAAATATTTTTCCATATACATATTTGTTATTTATTATATTAATTTATCAAATTTTTAAAAAATATTTTATTAAACTATTTGTCAACTCTCTAATTTTTTATAAAATAAAAAATCCTTGATAATATATTAAATATTTTTTAAAAAATGTTTAATGTTTGTCGGTGAAACTTATCGATTTTTAAATAATATTTTAAGTTATTAATTTTAAAAAGAGGGCCGAGTTAAATCAAGCGTGGTCGATGGATCATACGTGACAAATGGGAAATACTTAGACAGAGAAATTTTTTGTTTATGGCGACGATTTGGTTAAAATCGGTCTTCATAGTATCTGTCAAAGCAGGCGTTAAGCTAAGCCAAAGCAAGCCCATTTCGTCAGGCTTACGTCGGTCTTTCTTTGTGTTCCGTCTCATAATCAGAAGTGAACCGCTGCGCCACAACTAAACCCACGCCTCAAATGGAGGTTTGATCAAGTCACCCTCCCATCATGCGCGCGTTTGTCCTCCTAAAAATGAAATTGTAATTTTGGTATCTTAAAATATGTCAATAACGATTAGGTCTACGGATAAATTCTTCTCCTCTTTCTAGCCGGTAATCTTGATCATCTTCAACTTCCGTAATTAATTTTTTTTACTTAATCTTGAAAACATAATTTTGTAAAAATACAACAAATTTTGTATTCTTTTAATTTTAAATAACAATAAAATTAAAAACTAACAAGAACATTTTTTTTTTATCTTAGATAACAGACGAAAGTAATTGCTATGAAACTACTCAACATGCAAACAAATACTATAAGTAAATACATAATTTTTTTTCTTGTAAAGCATTTCTCTTTCTTTTATCCTTCCTATTGATATATCTTTTTACAAATTTCCTTGTTAGATTTAGAATTTTTAAAAATAACATTCAATATATTTTTGTCTAAATTTCAATACCTATAATTTTTTCTATAGCTTTTTTTTTTTTGTAAAAAAAATGTTTTAGATGGTTAAAAGACAAAACTTGAGCATTTGTTTGATGAGTGAACAAATTGTTTTGTTATATTTATAGCTTTTACGTGTGAATTGAAAGTGAATATTTATAGAAATTCTTGACAAAAAGACATGTCTTTGAAAGAGAAAACGTCAAACAAACGATCACGAATAAATCCTTTTGTATTGTGATTTCCATGGTTTCACATTTGGGACTACATCCAAAAAGAGTATGGAATTTCATGATATTTCTCATTCTAACAAGTTAGTAATGGCAGGCTAAGAAGTCACTTGATCTTTCCGTTAAAAAAGAAGTCTTCAATTTCTCTTGTTAATGAACTTTGTCTTTGTTCTTGAATATAACACTTTTGAAATAAGATCTTAATGAATGAGATTAAATCTTTTTATTGTGAATTTGAAGTATGCACTTCATTGGCATAAAGAAAATTATCATTTTTTTGCTAAATTGATATATCATCTTATAAGATGATGGTTAGAAATATTTAAACCATATGTTATTTTTATTTATCTTAATTGTTAGTTAATAGATTTTATTATAAATTAATAAGAGAAAGGATCAAGTTATACCAACAAAGTTTTATAATTTTTTATACTTTTTTTAACTATTTATTCTAATAGATTTAGGGAATGAGAAAAAGATGAGTCAAAAAAATAGTTTTATTGATGGTGTTTTAGCTAGAAGGAATGAGATAAGGTTGAAAGGAAGGACAACTTGAATCTGCAGTCAAAGAACAATTTAGGGGGCACTAAAGTTGTTGCTCTAGGACATATTTCGATGTTTAAGTCAATACTGTATTAGAAGTAAGGTAAAGTAAGGAAGGAGAAAAAGGTGGTGAGGTGTATGAAAGAAGCTTTACTAGGAGGAAGCTCAAAGTGTGTAGTAGGGTTATGGCTTTTTCTTCTTATTGTTACATACCTGGTCTTTCAATTACCTTATATATGAAACCAAAAGGTAGTGAGTTGATTGAAATAGTTGACAATTGATAGGATATCTACATGAAACTCAAAGAGGGTCCATATGGGTAGGGTTCATGTAGGTAGATGTGAGTCATATTTTAATGATCCTAAACAAACATAAGCTACATTTAATGATTTTAAGCAAATTAGATGTCAAGTGGTTAATTCTGAAGTGCCTATCTTGATAGATTGTCAATGAAACTTTGGATGAGTCTTTCTTTAGGTGAAAGATGAGCCATTTCCCTAGAGTAGATGACGTGATTGTCTAGGCATGCCTTGTCTGGGTAATCCCAAGATATGACTATGGTGACCAACATTGACCAAGTTTATCGTTGACAAGTTGATTTAGGCATGATATTGCCCCCAATTTGAAAGGGTTATAAAGTGACCACCCTTAAACCATTGTCTAAAACCTGAAAAGGAAAGAGAAGAGAAAAGGAGAAAAAGTGCTTTGCGAGCAGTTTTTGTAGCTCCATGAGTTTAGCATGATCACGTGTCCCTTTCAAGTGAGATGAGCATTTTTGGTGAACAGTTGTGCTGAAGTGTCCCTATAGACGATAAGGGCATACTCGATGAGCTTAATTGATGATGTGTCACGCGAGGAAATAGTAACTGCATTTGGGTGAGTTTGAAGGTTGTTAGAACCATAACAATCAGTAAGTGATAACTTGGGAAATTTTTTTTTGTAAAATTTTCTTGTTTGTATATGAAATATGCTTGGTCAGAGCGTGTGTTATAGGGTAGTGTGCTGTATGTGCCTGTGTTTTTAAAAGATGCAACTGAGCAAGGCACATGTCGTGCAATGAATTGGGAGCTGTTAAATGAAATTAATGGGTGCATTTTTTGAAATGCAATGAATGGAAAGATGTCAAATGAAATTAATAGGTGTATTTTTTTTTTTTAAATGCACTAGTTTTAAGAAGGTAACTAAAAGGGTTTTTAAGGGGGGATTAATTTTGTACCAGTCATGAATTAATTAAAACGGTTTGAGTAGGTACTGTTTCAAAAGTGTTATTTAACCTACTTTTTGGTTAGGCATAAATAGGAGATTTAGGGTTCATAATTTCCACTTTTTCTTACTACATTCAAAAAGGTATATTGCTTCTTACTTTTCTACTTCTTCATTTTTCTCCTAGTTGATAAAGTATTTTCCTAGTATTTTTAAGTAAGGTTCTTGCCTTTTCCTAGTTTTGTTAATATCTCTATTTGAGTTTGAGTTTGTGAAAGAAAGACAAATGGCCTTACTAGATAGGTATTCCTATTGTACTATCCATTTCATGATGGGACCTACGTTGGATTGTTTCATGTTCAACCACAACAATCCCATGTATGAAGTCTTTTTGCCTTCTCCAAGGCTCAACATCAACTAGGTGGGGCAACTTAAGGGCATTGCAGGGTTCTACCTGCACTATTTTTGTAATAGGTTTCTCTTGCCATTAACTCATTCTTCCACCTATTGTTGGCCATTTTTAATGTCACAACCAACCAGACTGCGCCAAACACAAGCTTTTGGGATTTTTTAAGGTTTTTTGCGGTTTTGGAGTTTTTTTAGTTTTTCAAGGTTTTCAAGATTTTAGCTTTTAATGTTGGTGACATCTATGTCGTTGAGTTAATTAAGCACCTTGAAATCTTAATAAAGGTAATCATTTACCAAGTTTTTGAAAATGTAAGCAAGGCCAACATGTCATTGATTGGTGGGAGCATAACTAGTCGAGTTAAAACTAAGGGTCTAATCAGTAACACTAAATATGATGGTGACATGCTTGCTAAGCCTTTTGATGATGTTTCAGTGAGTTAAAAAGTAAAAAAAAAATTACCATTGCCATGTCTTCAGCCTCATACAAAATTGAGGATCGATTGATCTAATTAAACTAAAGGTAATTCAAAGTTAAAGATTTTATCTACTCACGATACCCCTTATGTCTTTAACTCTAGAAAGATTAACCTAAAAAATGGCTTGAAGAAGTGTGAAAATAGAGGTTTTAAGTTGTATACAATGTTTGACAATCACTGAAAAGGCTTACATAACTCAGATAGTTGAGGCTTTGAAAAGCATAAAAGATCCAATTTTTATAATGGTTACACGTCCATCATATGCTCACTTATGCAATTTTTGTAAGGAAAGCTTGGTTAGTCAAATACTATTGCACTATTGTCATTACTATTATTGCTAAGTCCCTATCCCTTTTATCGAGGTTGAAGTCACTATCTTTCTTGTTCAAGACTTGGTTGCTAAGACTGATGCTACTATGCTTCTTAGTGCTTTAATTTGTATTTTTTTTCATCACTGATGTACACAATTCTTAGTTGGTAATAAAATGAATTCTTTCACAATCTCTATCTTAATTTATTTTATTTTCTTAGTTGAAGCTATCAATATGAGTTACTTGTATAAAAATGACTAAGTTAAGAACATGCAATTATCAAACTTTATGTAAAGTTGATAAAGTAAGATAGCTAATATAAGAACTGGCTAAGTTG